TTCCAGGTGTGTGTGTGTGTGTGTGTGTGTGTTACATTTATTTATTTTAGACAGAGCACAAGTTGGGGAGGGGCAGAGAGAGAAGGAGACACAGAATCCAAAGCAGGCTTCAGGCTCTGAGTGTCAGTACAGAGCCCAAGGTGGGGCTCAAACTCACAAATTGAGATCATGACCTGAGCCTAAGTCAGTCGCTTAACCGACTGACCCACCCAGGTGCCCCCTAAAGTTCCAGGTTTTTAAGTCCTGCCTGCGATTGTAAGAACTCACAAAATTTGACCCCTCTGGTTTTGAAAGCCAAATATTTGGGGATTCATCTTCCCTGTGCAGTCTCCCTGGTGTGAAAGTTTGTTTCTCTCCTCTCTTGTGCCTGGGGTGTTCCTCCCTCCCTCCTGTGGAAAGTCCCTTGGGTCTGTTTAGCTCCTAATCTGTCACCACCCTCCTACTCTCTTTGATATGGCCTCTTCCTTACATTTAGCTGTGGAGAGTTTGTTCTTCCAGTCTCTGGGTCATTTTTTTTAGTTACTTACACTAATGTGTTTATCATCTGGCTGTATCCATGGGACAAGGTGAGCTTAGTGTCATCCTACTCTGCTATCTTCCCTGGAAGTCCTCTTCTCTTTTCATTTTGTGACCATATCCTTTAAAGCAGAAAGGTTTTTCCTTTTGATGAAGTCCAATTTATTTTGTTGTTGCTTGTGATGTTTTTATGTTATTTCTAAGAAGACTGCCTAGCCCTAGGCCACAAAAACTTACTCCTGTACTTTATTCTAAGACTTTTATAACTGTTACATTTAGAGCTGTCATCCATTTTGAGTTGATTTTTGTGTAGATATGAGGAAGGAGTCAACTTCATTATTTTACATGTGGATATCCAGTTACCCCAAAACCATTTGTTGGAAAGACTGTTTTTACCTTTCATTTAATCATGTTGAGATACTCTGAGTCCCATTCTTAGACCCTCCTCCACATCCATGAATCCAGCTCTAAAGAAAGGTACAGAGTTAGTTAAAAGTCTGACAGGATAACAAAAATAGTGGAGGAGAGACCACATTGGGCCAAATTTAGTTGAGCCTCATTTAAATCCTTACTACTACTCTATTAGTTATCTAGTGCTATATAACAAATTACCCCCAAGTCAGGGGCCTAAATCAGCAAGATTATTATAAGTCATGAATTTGAGAGACTTTGGTTATGTAGCTCTGTGTCAGGACCTCTTACGAAGTTACAGTCAGTATGTTGGTTGGTACTGCAGTCAAATGAAGGTTTGCTTGGAAATGGGAGATCTGCTTCCAAAATGACTCACTCAAATGACTGTTGGTAGAAAGCTGCAGTTCTTTACCACTGGAACCTCCCCATAGGGCTCATGTAAGTGTTCTCACAAGGTGGCAACTGGCTTTCCCCAGACCTAATGATCTTAGTTTAGAGACAATAAGGGAGGAAGCTAAAGTTCTTTTATAACCTAGTTTTAGCCATGACACATTATCACTTCTGCCTTGCTATTTTTGTCAGAATTGAGTCAAAAAATCCAGCCCAAGGGGCTAGAGGATTTGGAACCACATTTTTAAAATCAGTATCAAAGAATGTATGAACATGTTTTAAATTACCATGTGTATTTGTCAGTTTTATCAAAAGTAAGGTCAAATTCCGAATAGGTGATGTTCCTTTATACTATAAATGCTCATTTGTTGTCTAATAAAATGAGATGACCTCCAAATATTTTTTTAAGCTTTATTTAAGACTCTCTACACCCAACGTGGGGCTCAAACTCAAAACCCCGAGATCAAGAATCACATACTCTTCAATTGTGCCAGCCAGGTGCCCCTCCAAGTCATTCTTTTTTTATTTTTTTTTTCACTGCATGTCCTTGATATATCAAATCTAAACCAATCTTAATGTATTTATGTATCAAAACAAGGCAAAAGAGTATGTCTATCACAAATATTGTATCAGAAAATAGGAGATAAATAACATGATTTCTAAGCTGAAATAAGTACCAGAATATTTCCTATTCTTTTATATCCCTTTGTTCTCACAGCCATTTTCCAGTTTGTGGGAAGGAACACGTGAATTCTTCATGACTCTGTGTACTAGTTGACCAGTTTTGACCACTTCTCACTCAAGAAACATTTTTAAGTTAGCCAATAGTTTTACAGCAAGAGCATATGAACTCATTTTAATACTTTACTTTGTAACTTTGGTTCCTTCTGCAAACTTTTTTATAGGTGATGATTTTACATGACTTTGGAACTGGTCTCTAGTGGAACGCTGTGGGAGGATGAACACAGAAGAGCTGGAGTTACTGAGTGACTCCAAATACAGAAACTATGTAGCTGCAATTGACAAAGCACTAAAGAATTTTGAATATTCCAGTGAATGGGCAGATTTGATATCGGCACTTGGAAAACTTAATAAGGTATGTCCAGAAATTCAGAAATCTGAATTTCTACTTACTGGATTTCTCTAAAGCTTGAAGTAAAGAATTGTAAAAACATAACTAAAGCTTACGATTACTTTTGGTACTGCTATTTTATTTCATGAATTGCATGCCTGAACAGCCAGGCATATTTTGAGGCCAAAACAACATTACCATTAAAAACATGAGACTAGGAAGCAAACATGCTAATAACTCTGAGGGCTAACAAGTTTCTGTAATTGAGCAAAGGTATGGTCCTGGAGTTCCTGACAACAAAATTAGAAACTGGTGTAGAAAGTGGTAACTTGAAATGTGCTTTACAAATGTTATGTAGCAGTAAGGAAAATTTTATATCCAGGCAATTCTTAGATATATTCAGTACTTTTTTTTACGAAAGTGATAAGTAGTCACTTAGGCCTTGGGGGTTGGCCTTGAATGTTTCCTCTTAACATGTCTGGTTTTAATCCACTATTATGATGGCATTACAGATCAATTCATAGCTTTACATTTTTACACTGTTTTTTTGTTTGTTTTCTTAGATCAAACTTTGCTCACCTCGTACTTACAGTTTTGATTTGGGGAATTTTTGGAGTTTTTGGTTTGTTTTTTTTTTTTTAGCAGTTGTTACTGAATTGGAATGTTTTTAAATATTAAATGCAGTAGGGAAGATGATAAGAAATGAGAGCTCTCCCCGTAACTTTTAACATCAAATAGCTTAACATAGAATTATTAGGAAAGAAATTATCCTAAAATACATTCCAAGTACACTATTGCTTGACCTCATACATACTATAGATAATTAATGTCTTCCAGAAAAGCTTTCATTTTTAATGTGCCAAGGATTTATCTTAAAATTAGATGCACAAACTTCTGTTTGACATGTTAACTTGTAACATTCATCATTTAGGGTTTGATAAATTCTCAGATTTTTTTTTATAATATCCTCAAGAAATTGCATCCAAAATTATGAGTATGCTTAAAGGTAGTTAGGTTCTTTCTTGCTCTGAAGAGTCTCTCTCTTTCTTTCTTTCTTTCTTTCTTTCTTTCTTTCTTTCTTTCTTTCTTTCTTTCTTTCTCTTTCTTTCTTTCTTTCTTTCTTTCTTTCTTTCTTTCTTTCTATGTTTATTTTTAAGAGAGAGAGAGAGAGAGAGACAGAGCGTGAGCAGGGGAGGGGCAGAAAAAGAGGGAGACACAGAATCCAAGGCAGGCTCTGAGCTTTTGGCGCAGAGCCCTATGCAGGGCTTGAAATCATGAAGTGTGAGATCATGACCTGAGCTGAAGTCCGACGCTTAACCGACTGAGCCACCCAGTCTCCTTCTGAAGAATCTTTCTGAAGACTTACTAGGAGTTATATTTAAAAACAGTTTATTTTTTTTTTAATTTTTTAAAGATTTTATTTTATTATTACTTTTTAATACTTACTTTTGAGAGAGAGTAGGGGAGGGGCAGAGAGAGAGGGAGACACAGAATCTGAAGCAGGCGCCCGGCTCCAAGCTATCAGTACAGAGCCTGACGTGGGGCTTGAACTCACGAAGCACGAGATCATGACCTGAAGTCTGACCCTCAAGCAACTGAGGCATCCAGGCGCCCCTAAAGATTTTAAGTAATCTCTACACCCAACATGAGGCCCAAACTCACTCAGATCAAGAGTCACATGCTCCACTAGCTGAGCCAGCCAGGCCCTCCTAAAAGCAATTTATTAAATGTGGAAATTAATAGACCTAATTAAGTACATAAGTAGTTCTTATACTTAATATTTATGAAAACATTTTATTGTATCCAGATAACACAGAGGAGGATATGCAAGTCATTGGGAAAACTTAAGCTGTGAACAGGCAAGGATTGTATTTAGTATAAATTTGTTGAAAATAGTCTAAATACATGTTTTAATATAAAATGTTATTTATTAATATACTACATTTTCACCTCATTATACATTTTTTTCAATTCAAAATTGCTTTTAAAAAGAACGTTTTCCAATTCAGAAATCCTTTTAGATAATGGTGCTATAAAAAAATCATGCTATATTTTACTTTTCTTTTAAAATTTTATTTCGTATTAACACAGTTTTTTTATTAAAGCATTTTATGTTATAGATCGTTAAATTTCCTTCTGCAGAAGTAATTATACCTTTCCTTAAGATATATGTGAATATTGGGGTGTCTGGCTGACCCAGTTGGAAAAACGTATTTCATTTCAGGGCCTTGAGTTTGAGCCCCATGTTGCATGTGAAGATAACTAAAAATAAATAAATTTAAAATATGTAAATACTGACTCTTGGTTACTGTGTTTAAAATTGAGATTAAAACTTTGGACACACGGAAGCAGCTAGTTGAAAAATGTTTTTCATAGCTGTGTTCTTGCCAGTGTTTTGCCCTTAATTTGCTTTTCATTTCTAGATTTAGCTTTATTTGCCTTCATTGCATCTAGTTTAAAACTAAATTAAAAACTTGTAGTGGAAAGACTTTTGAAAATGTTTTATGTAGGGGCACAGGGGTAGCCCAGTCGGTTAAGCGTCCAACTCTTGATTTCAGCTCAGGTCGTGATCACATGGTCTCGTGAGTTTGAGCCCCACATGGGCTCCACATTGGCTGTGTGGAGCCTGCTTGAGATCCTCCCTCTTCCTGTGCTGTCTCCTGTTTGCACTCTCTCTCTCTTTCTCAAAATAAATAAACTTAAAAAAAATAAATGAAGAAAATGTGATATTTAAGTGGACCTCAGAGCCTTCACTTTTGTTAAAAACCTGGAGATCTTGTCCTGAGTTTTCTACTGTACTGCCTTTGACAGATCATTTTATGTATTTTAATTTCAGTTCTTTATTTTGTAAGATAAAAGATTTTTTTTTAATATTTCTTCTAAATCAAATTCTAGCATATTATCCTGTTTTCATTGTGCATTTATTCTGTAATGTTCTATCAGCACTGTACTATAATACTTTGAAGAATTAATTTATGAGTTCTTTTTTGTTTCTTAAATAACTAATCTCCTTTGGGTGGTTTATAAAACAGGATCTTCTGTAAATTCCACCCTAACCATTATCTCTAACTAAATGTTATGTTTGAATAAACACAGTTGTGATTGGTCCACTTGGGAAATTAGTAAAAACAAATGGGTAGTTACAATCTTTTGTAGATTCTTGTAAGCATTAGAACTCCTTGCTGACATACGATATCTCAAAGCAGTGGTTCTCCCTCTTTCAACGACATATTTATGTTGAGGTCCAGTTTCCTTCATATCTTTGAAATAGTGTATCAAAAATAGATTGACATTAAAGATTTGCAAAAATCAAAATCATTGCTTCTCTTCTGAATAAATTTGTTGGCAAAATATTGTGTTTTTTTTTAATTTTCTTTTTTAATGTTTGTTTATTTTTGAGAGAGACAGAGACAGAATGCGAGTGGATTGGGGCAGAGAGGGAGGGAGACACAGAATCCGAAGCAGGCTCCAGGCTCCGAGGTGTCAGCACAGAGCCACATGCGGGTTTCAAACTGACGAGCTGTGGGATCATGACCTGAGCCGAAGTTGGTCGCTCAACCTACTGAGCCACCCAGGCGCCCGAAATATTGTGATTTTTTTTAATAAAAATGGTATTTCTGTTAATGTGGAGTGGGTTTGGTTTTTTTTTAACAAAATAATTTTTTTGCATCCTCAGTTTTAATTTTAAATATGGTGTATATTGATAGATGTAACTAAGACAGGAGTTCTTTGACATCTTTTATAACTTTTTAGAATGTGAAGAAGTCCTGTAAGGATTTTTTGAAAATTCTGTGCTAGGAAATGGAAATAAAAGATATAAGGTTTTTGTTTTTCTCAGCAGAATTAAAATGTTTTCTTCAAGGTTTTACAAAATAATGCAAAGTACCAGGTAGTACCCAAAAAGCTGACTATAGGCAAACGCCTAGCTCAATGCCTACATCCAGCATTACCAGGTGGAGTTCATCGAAAGGCACTTGAAACATATGAAATTATCTTTAAAATCATTGGACCCAAGAGACTTGCCAAAGATCTTTTTTTATACAGGTAAGAATAATTTTTTATGTATAAATAAAATATATTTTTAACTGTGTTATGCTTTGTGCAGTAAAAGCTAAAGTACTGAAAACTCCTTAATGAAGTTTTTAGGTATCAATGTCAAATATTTTGATAGGTGCTTCAGAAAAATTTAGGATATTCCTTAATGTTAAATTTTTTTCTTTTTCTATGTCATTTATGATTTTTACTTAAAATTGTTGAGACTACAGTACTTTCTGCCTTTTTAAATTTTTT